GCCCCACTCTGTGCCTGGCTTTTCTCCTTGCCGGGGGGGCGGGCGAGGAGGGCGGTGGCCCCGTTACATTGAAGATCCATTTCCTGGCTGCTCCTTCTGACTGCTTTTGAACTTCAAGCTTTTGCGTGGTCCACAGAGTTATTAATCTGTATCTTTACATGTTTATTTTGGTTATTCTGGAGGTAGTGGTGCGAATTTTGAAGTCTCACCCACTATCTTGACAGAACTCACATGCCTATCTAGTTCCCAGCCCTCTCCCTGGCACTTTCCAAGTGCTCAATAAATAATTGTGGGATGCACGAATAAGGCCCCCAAACCCAGGGTATTGTAAATCTAGTATATACAGAACTAAATTATAATGTGAGCTGATTTATGTCACGCTCCACATGTTTATATAAAGTACACAAGAGAAGCGAGGGTGGAGTGATTTATACCGAGGGCTTAACTGTGTTTCTCAACAGTTTTTTACTTAAAAATAAATGGCTTCCTGCCCTAACTGGTTTGGCTCAGTGGATAGAGCGTCGGCCTGCAGACTGAAAGGTCCCAGGTTCGATTCCGGTCAAGGGCATGTACCTTGGTTGCGGGCACATCCCTGGTGGGGAGTGTGCAGGAGGCAGCTGATCGATGTTTCTCTCTCATCGATGTTTCTGGCTCTCTATCCCTCTCCCTTCCTCTCTGTAAAAAATCAATAAAATATATTTTAAAAAATTAAAACAAACAAATGGCTTCCTGTGCTGTCTCCTCCCACTTTTGGGGGGGGGTATTGTTACAATGAGCATGGATTTCAGAATATGCAATAAAGTTATTTTTATCTTGAAAAAAGTAGACAAATGAACAATGAATGACCCCAACTCTTCCCGAGTTGAGGACCTTTGTCACTCAGGAGCGTTCAGATGCGTCTGTCACCCTCGTCAGCGGGGACCAAGGGGAGTTCTGGCCTCTGCCCAGAGTGCGGTGTGCAAGGCGGCGAAGCGGGGCTGGCTGCCAGCGCTTTTCCTGCCAAAGGTCCCCGACGCTCTCGCCCTCAGGTGGAGAGAAGTCTCTGGAACATCATTTTAGCTTCATATGCCTTCTATACCTTATCCTTGTTTCGTGAACAGTCAAATTTTCCCCCTAAATTTGGATTCGAAATCCCAGAGTGAAATCGGAGAGGTGAGTCCAAGCTTCCCGGGTGATTCGTCCCTCCCACCCTCTTTGCCCGGCCGGCACCGTGGGAAAAGGTCATACATGTCCACCAGCTCTGCACCCGAGTTTCTCACCGGAGCTGCTGTCAACACAATCCACTCGTGACCCTGCCAGGAAAGGCCAGCATACTGTTGTGTTGAGTGGGTGGCCCGCCTGCGGCAGTGCACTGGCTCTGCTGGGCTATCATGAACTGGCATCTGGTCCTCCAACACAGGCAGGTAGATAGGACTCAGCAGAACATACAGCTTGACGTTGACCTCTAAAATGTTGCTCTTCTGTTTTCACACTCAGCTCCATGTCTTGGCACCTGTGCCACATCCATGAAATATAAGAATCGCAGTTCCTTGTAGAGAAAAGCAGATGTGGGTTTTTGGATCTATATTACTTACGACACTTGTTGATCGTAATTAATTCTTGAGGCCTTGCCTGAGGGAGCTGGCCTGTGTCCCCCTCTGCTGAGGACACGTCACCAGCAGCAGCCCCGAATCTGATCTCTAAGTACAGTCAGAGAGCATGGCTTCCCGCCCCCCTTCCCAAGCCGGCATCCGGGGCAGTTGGCCCCTGACATTCCTAATCCATGACCCCGTGCAGCCCGTTGGCACAGCACATAAGGCACCTTTTCACCCACTTCGTTCGAAAGCTTCACCGGGACTTAAAATGACTGTTTCCTGCCGACAAGCCAGTGGTTGGATTAGAGCATCTGTGGCAGCCCCTTCAGGCTCCAGCATTTTAAAATTCGCTCAAGGGACAATGAAAAATCAGTGTGACATGGGACAGTGTTTTTAAAGTGTATCAACCAGAAATATTCTTAAGGAATATTGGTTGCATGCAGTTCTGTCTTCCCACTCTTAAAGTATCAGTTGGGCGGAAAAGTAATTGTACTCCTATTAAGTACAAAGTTACAGCTTATCCTCACGTACAATTTTGTGTAGTAGTCTTTGGCTTACCTGGGATCATGCCTACATGATCTGGTACAACAGATTAAGAATCATAGCCTTGAAGGGAACTCATCAGCATACTTCTTAGACATCGGTGCATCGTCATTCTGGACTGGACGCATGTGTGTGTCTTCTAGGTATTTTTATTTTCACTTGGATTGGGCTCCCTAGGGTCATTAGTAGCTACGTTTCCATAGTTTCTGTCTGTCTTTGGATTGAGCGGTCTTCAGGAGCAATAGCATGACATCACTCCAGACTCGCATGTGGGATTCATTTCCTGGAGTCATTCTACCATCAGGGACATGGATGTTGGGCTAAAGGCTTTAAATGACACCTCAAAGCTGTTGAGAACGTGGAGACTGAGATCATTACAAAATCCGTCATGCAGAAACACTGCAAATACAGAAAACTCACGGATTAACCCAGTGATCATTTTCTCTTAATTTATCACTGGAGAAAAATAAATGGAATATTTAAGAATTGAAATCCATTTTCCAGTAGGTCATTGTTTAAAAATTAATTCAAACACTTGGACCATTAACCCAGGCAAATATAAAATACTGAAATATGAAACAATAATAAAGTAAAGGAATATATTTTCATGCATATATATTCACATACATAATATCAAAAGGTAAAAATGAAGAAATAGTCTGCCATCCTGATATGTTGGCAGAATAGCTCCCTTCTGAGTTTTTTTAAAAGTGTATTTTTATTGTTAACAGTAACCTGATTTTTTAATGTTTTTGCACAATTTATAGTACTTTACATTTTTGCTTCCAAATATTTTGCGTTTGACATAGAGATTCGATGTGCTAGTGTCTTATTAAAATCATAACAATTATATGTACACGTTAAAAGTAATGGGAGGAAAAGGGGACCTATATAATATCTTCAACAATAAAGGTTTTCTTTAATAAAAAAAAAAGTAACTCAAACTCTTCAGAAGGGTTAAAAAATAAAGAGTAAACATCTTTCTCCACGTCTAGACCCACAGGGGAAAAAGTATGCTGTTATAATTATATGTATATATGTGCGTATCTACATATATGTGTATAAATGAGTGTATACATGTCCCCTTTTTACATACAAATCTCTAACTTGGTTCCCCCCTTCTCAGTGTGTTTGAGCAAAATATAAACCTAACTATTTTTGATGACCGTGGCACTGTATGAATGAATATCCCATAATGAAGTTGGTTAGCTCCCCTATTAATGAACATTTATTGGGGGGGGGGGTAGTTTTTCTGACAGAGCTACACCAAATATCTTTGTTAGATATAGTTATGCTTGTTTATAGTTATATGATCATAGAATAAATTCCTAGAAACGGAATTGTTAGGTGGTTTGCTTGCTGTTTGTGTGTCAGCCTCGCTGGACTGAGGGAGGTCCAGATAGCTGGTAAAATATTATTTCGGGGTGTGCCTGTGAGGGTGTTTCTGGAAGAGATGAGATGGAATCAGACTAAGTGTAGGAAGTCTGTCCTGGCCAGTGTGGGGGGTGCATTATCCAATCCACCGAGGGCCTGAATAGAGCAAGACGGCCGAGCTAGGCGGATTTGCTCTCTGCTGGACTCGGGCCGTCTACACCGGCCTCTGGAGCCCCTGGTTCTTGGGTCTTTAGTCTCAGACTAGGATTTAGACCACGGGCTCCCTGGGTCTGGGGCCGGGCAGGAACTACACCACCAGCTTTCCTGGGCCTCCGTGGTGCAAGTGGTGGATCGTGGGACTTCTCGGCCTCCAAATCGTGTGCGCCAGTCCTCCCTGGTAACTCTCTTTCCATAGATGGCCATTGGCGCATTTCTCTGGAGACCCCATGTAATACGCTGGATAGAAGGGTTGTCCGTGTTTAGTTTGGGTCTATATTTCCCAAGTGCCCTCCTCAAAGGCAGAGAGTACCAGTGTCCTCACCGAAAGAGAAGCCGGTTTCCCTGTGTTGCCGACAGCTTCATGGAATTGTAGCATCTTTGCTTTTGATACGTGAAGCCTGGTTTGTCTTTGATGTTTTGTGTTTATGTTATTGTGAGTGAAGTTTAGCATCTTTTGTGGGTTAATTAGACATTTGTGTGTCCTTTCTCTGTAATTGGTTTAGTGTAATCTGACTATCTTTTCCTACTTAGTTTACCTTTTCTAATGATTTTTAAGAGCTCTTTGTATATTAAGAAGTATATCCTTTTGTCATAAGAAAGACTTTTTCCCCCCCATTCTCTATTTTTTATTGGTGCTTTAGTTATAAAGGTAGTTTTCATTTAGTAGTCAAATTTAGTGTTTTCCTTCATGACTTTTGAGTTTTATGTCATGTTTACAAGCCTTCCCACCTTCTCATTCTAGGATTATATTCACCCATCTTTTCTTTTTCTTCTATTTCTTTTCAGGTGTGCGTGTGTTTGTTTTGACATCAGGTATTTGTTTTATTCAGGATTATTTTGTTGTAAGGAATTAGGTTGACATCTGAGTGTTGGTATATTTGTAAAAGATTTCAATATCAAGTACTATTGAGATTTTATTTCATTGGTTCTGTTTATCCTTTGCCATGCAATTATTTGATAAGTAGGAGCAGCAGCTGCATATTTATAAAAATGCCATTCCTTTGAATACAGTGGGTTATACTTATTCTTGGCACCATAATCTTTAAATAATTGGGAGTTTGGGTCCTAGGAGATAATAGCAAAGAATACCCTATGGCAGTGATGGCGAACCTCTGACACGCGAACTCATTTTTTTTGTTGATTTTTCTTTGTTAAGTGGCATTTAAATATATAAAATAAATATCAAAAATATAAGTCTTTGTTTTACTATGGGTTGCAAAGATCAAAAAATTTCTATATGGGACACGGCACCAGAGTTAAGTTAGGGTTTTTCAAAATGCTGACACGCCGAGCTCCAAAGATTCGCCATCACTGCTCTATGGAACATCATCCCTTTGACTTAATGTGATGTCATCCTAATGAAACCAAACAACAGCGGATGGAATGACAGTGACCTCTCGCCGCAGACATGGGGTGAGTCGTGGTCTCTAGGTGGGCGAGCTGTTCCGGTGTGTTTCCTTCGGTTTACACAGAGAGCTGTGCTTTTCCATTGTGTCACCCTCCAGAGAAAGCTGCATTTTTAGGACTGTGTTTTCCCAGTGAAAAGGCACCTTTTCTCCACTGGTTCATCAGAGAGAAACAGTCAAACTTAAGGCGTGTCGTTTCTTTTGGAGCGATGGAAACTCCATTTAAAGCTGAGGTCTTGCCCTGTGAGTGTCAGCCGGTTTGATTCCAGTCAGGGCACATGCCTGGGTTGCGAGCTTGATCCTTAGTAGGGAGCCTGCAGGAGGCAGCCGATCAATGATTCTGTCTCCCTCTCCCTTCCTCTCTCTGAAATCAATTTAAAACCCCCCACAAACCTCCGTATTTAAAAAGCTGAGATGTTGATAGCTAACAGATAACTTGCCATGCCTATACCCGCATTATTTTCTCTCTCCTTCAAGGTCATACTGATTGCATTTTATTTTGTCAATGCTGCTCTTTAATATCTCAGCCTCGCAAAATCTATGCCAGATTTTTAAACTGGAAAAGGTGTTAAAGGCAGCGGAGCCCTCACGTCTTCCCAACCATTGTCCTTGGTTGTAGTGAGTCTTGCATTTCGCTCCTGGAGGCAGGGGTTAGGGTTAGCAACTCCTCGTCACACGGAGCTGTGTGTTTACAGGTCACAGCGACAGAAAGAGAGATGCTTGCGCCTTTAACAAGTGAACACAAAACTGTCACCCGATTATTAGTCTGACATTTCATGGGAGGCTGCTTGGCAAGGCGCTGTGATGTTCCCATGACTCCGTGGGGTCATCTCTGAGCGCCTGTTCATTTCATGGTGTTTGAGTTGGCTTCATCGGTTATCAGGTGAATGTCCGTGGGCAGTGGGTAAGTCTCCGTTTGTACGTCCAGGAAAGGAAAAGGTCGGACACCGCACAGGGATGTTGGGAGAAGTAAGAGAGAATGCGTGGGGAACTCGGCACTGGGCACATTGTAAGCCCCCCACCTGAGTGTGTGCTGTTGTCTCTGTGTTGTATGTTAGTGATGGTGGTTAGTGATGTGTTACTCAGTAGTTTATCTCTATTACTCAGTAGTACTACATGTGCGGTGAGAAACCCGTTATTGACTAGTCTCAAAATACAACGCCCAGTTGTCTTTAGAAGTGGGGTGTGTTTAAGATGAGCAGTAGACTTCCTGAGTTCGCTGTGTTTTACTTTTGCCACCTTGAAAAAAGTCCCGTAATTTCGTGTAACCTCAGAAAGCATGCCTGCGCATCGTTTTTGGAGCAGAAAAAGAGGGTGTGTAGTTAATAGTGTGGCTCTTTACCCGTAACTGGGACACAGTGAAGTTAGCAGTTTTGGTAACGATGTTTGGCTTTTTTGTTTCGTTTAATGCTTGCAACATTATCCTGTCTACGGCTCCCCGAGGCCCTTTCCATACAGTATGTCCTGTGATCATATTACTGATCTAATAAACATCTATCTCACTGTAATAAACCCACTTTGTGAGCAGCCTCATTAATGTGCTGAGATAATGCACCCGGGGGTATTCCCAGCATTTCCATTGTGGCTCCGCAATTCGTCGCCCTGATATTAGGCTCTATTGGTGGGGAACGGCTGCGTCAGCTCCCGGGGTCGAGGCTCCCACGTGCCTCACGGGGCACGAAGGTGTACGAGGCCGAGCTCTGGGTAAAGGTGGTTTGGGGGCCACGGCATCCTACAGAGTAAAACCGTAGGTAGACAATCTCCTTTTGATTTTAATTCTGAATCAGTTTCTTTGAATAAATGAACCATTAATTTGTAAAGCTAAGACAGCCTCATGGAATGTATTCTAAATGTCTAGATAATAAAGCCATAACTATGTTTAACCAATTTTAGACAGACTTTTCTTCTTTCCAGTTGTAAGAATGGCCTAGTTTGGTGAGTTATGGAGTGGTTTTAAAAGTTTAATAGCCTTGCAATTTTAAATATCCATTCTTTTAATGGAAATACCCATTTTCAGGAATAAATGTACTATCTCTTGTTCTTTTTCCTTTGGGGTACATTCTCTACCTCAAGCCTATCTCACTCAGATAGGAGCTCTTCAGAAGGGATTATTTTAGCATAGAGAGGACTTCGAGTATTTTTCCAACAACGCGGATCCAGTAAACAGTAATTTTAAGAACTCTAAGCTATAGAGCTCTGTACTACATTTCTGAATCTTAGAACAAAGAGTTACATTTCCAAGTTTCCTTTGTTCATTATTTGACCGTCATGAGAAATCCTGACAGTCTATTACTGGAGCTGATAAAGGCAGATTGGCCCTTCATGCCTCTCCATGGTCACTGGTTGTAACAGCAGATCTTGCATTTGACGTATGTCAGTACATGAGGGTCACTGCAGAGGGTGCCCAGGAAATGTCCCCCTTTAAAAATGTTAGGAGTAAGGAAGGCAGATTTATTTCATATATTTGAATTACAAAAGGTGCCATAAGCACATTATAAGAATTCAAAAAATTTACAGGTGATTAAGGTACAACTAGAGTGTCCCTTCCCTTTACACATGGCACTACTCCAGGGTAACCAGGGTTACTTTTTTTAATTTAATATTTTTTATTGATTTTAGAGAGGAAGGGAGAGAAATATCTATACTAATAAAAGGGTAATATGCTAATTAGAGAGGACATCTTCCAGATGACCTTCTGGA